TGTAGATTTGTTTATAGTTTAGTTTGTTGTTTATTTTTGTATAAAGACTGATAATTATGTTTACATGTTGTGTGTTATTGTTATTATAGGTCCAGTACAATGAGTTAACATGTCTACCTAATAATGTGATCAAACTGGATAAACTATCTAAAATATTTGCAAGGTAAATATTGTATCCACTCTCTACCATATGTACATGTATATCTCTCTCCATGCATACATGTACTTATCTGTTGAGTATTAAATTTTATAAATTGACAAAAATCATTTTAGTTTTGCTTTTTGGCTCATAAGGACATCAGAGAGAGAGAGGGAGAGGGAGGGATCTCAGCTTTTATTTCATATGCTCCTCCTATTAGCTATACTGCATGGACAGTATTACCTCAATTATTCTTCATAACATTGTCCATTGTGCATTAATTGATACATGTACATGTACATGTGTATTTATAGTCATTTTCAGTTATTGATACATGTACATGTACTGCATGTTTTTTTCCTTTTCTTGCTTTTAGCTGCTTCATTGTAGTTAACTTATTAATTTGCTAATTTGATTCGTACACTTTACTAATCCATGAAAACTGTACCTAAGCAGTGGCACACACAATTTGAAGGAAAAGTGATAGAAAAACAGGAAACATTTCCTATCACCATGTACATACGTATTTTTCTGTCCATTTTCTCATTTCTTTACTTGTTTCTTTTCTTTCTTCCCTTTCTTCTTTCTATTTTTCTTCCCTCCTCCCCCTCATTCTATTCCTTTCCTTCTTTCCTTTCTCTATGTATATCTCTCCCTCCCTCTGTTTCTATTATAGTCTCTCCTATATGTTAGGAAGGTTTGAGTCTCTTCATTATCTTCTCTTTGATGTTCTCCTCTTAATTAAATGAATGAGAGCTGACATCCTCCGGAAAGGAACAGTATTGGTCCTCTAGTATCTCTTGTATTGAAGAACCAGGAGACCACATGTGACAGCCAACCTCTCCCTCGTCCCTCAAGATCCCCTCGTCACCATACAAGTGAGAGATGATGTTTTTTGAGTTATGAGCATTTTTAAAAATAAGCCAATTTTTGATAAATACCCAAGTCTATAGCCCATGCTTTTTTGTAAAAAATGGCTCCGAAATCACTCCTGATTTTTATTACATTTCCTGATATATATTGATATCCTGATGCTGTGTAGAAAATTGAACCGTTTCCGACAAATAATTTTTGAGTTATGAGCATTTTTAGAATTAGGCCAATTTTTGATAAATACCCAAGTCTATAGCCCATGCTTTTTTGTAAACAATGGCTCCGAAATCACCCCTGATTTTTATTACATTTCCTGATACGTATTGATGTCCTGATGCTGTGTAGAAAATTTGAACCGTTTCCGACAAATAATTTTTGAGTTATGAGCATTTTTAGAATTAGGCCAATT